TAAATATTCACCAGCGTGGAGCATCATACTATATAGAAAAGGATTGAGAAATAAGTTGTTCGAGAAATCTTATAATGTATAAAATTGTCTGAGTTATTCTCATGAGAGTCGATCGTTTCGCGTACAGGATGTAGATTATCAGCAAAAAGATATCGTAATTACTTAGACACGCTTTTTGATAGGGTACTTACCAATAGAGTTCCAGATAGTTTCGTAAAGACATAGAGATGTAAAGTTAGTAGAATTAGAGAAACCCTCTAGATTTGGAGTAGACGGAGAGATGGGCTCTAGAAAATAGTATTATACTATTCTAATTAGGAAGGCGGAAGAGACAGCGAGGTAATTACTACTGCTTTAGTCCTAGTATGGAGTGATTCAAATTTCTGCATAGTGTATTGAAATCCCGCCTTAAAATAATCTTTAATTATCTTATGGTTCTTTATTTACCTAGTAATAATTATAGCGTCAGAAAGTCAGAAATAACCTGTCCCTAGTGTGTTATGTTATTTAATAAACTTAGAAATACAGTTCTTACTAATTATTCGAAGAAGTATTATATATATCGCGCGTAATAAATATTAACTCTTTTCTATATATAGAATGGTAAGGAGCCTTCTTAGCGTTTATTTAGTACCAGAATTAATTATATAAGGAAAATCTCTGTATTTTAATATATAGCTGTTGGCTCGTGGTTCTAGACATGGTTATATGTTGTAGTTGTCTGAAGGGTTTCCTAGAGATTTTTATTTACTAGCCACTTTGTAAGTACTAAAATGTCTATCTTTTTAGGTGTATACTATAGAGACCTATAAAATTTGAGAGTATAATAGAGTTTAACTGATTAGAGTTCTGTCTTAACTTTAAACTATAAATGCTAATTTTGATTTATTTACTGACAAAGAAATATCCATGGACTATGTTAAATAGACCTATATGGTCATATAACGCTTTAAAGAATATATACTTCTTATTACATCTTATATATAGATTATATCTATATAAGCCCTAATCTGTTATCTAGATGGATTATTATTTAATACAATTAGTCTAGACCATAACTTTTGATAAATAGATATAGAATATGGCACAGTATATAGAAATAATAAAATTTTTATAGTATAAAATATAATCTAGTTAAATTTAATTATTTTTATTATTTATATTTAATATTTTATATAGGTATTTTAGTAGTATTAATACTTTGTATAAATCTACTTTGAAGTTTACTAATATTAACAGATTTATATATTTCTATTCTATTTTTATTTACGAACAAATAAGGTTAATAATACTATAAAGCTAATCTATTATTAGAATATATTATTTTATTCTATAAGTTAGATTATTTCTAATATTTAAATATCTACTAAATAATATCTAATTCTAAATTTTTATAATATATTTTATTACTAAAGTAACTACCTCTATATCTAGTATTATTTTATTATTTTAAACGTTTAATATCTTAATCACTGTTAGCTTCTTTTTAATCTAATATATTATAAATATAAAATAGCTTGATATATAGTTTTTTCTAATATATATATTAATATTGCAAGTACACAAGCAAATCTATGGTATTAATCGAACTAAACTACTTAGAACGCATAATATAATATATTCTACATAGCGAGCTACATATATATAATTTATAAAATTCGGATAGCGGTACTAAATTTGAATTTTATAATTTAAAAAATTAATATATTGACGATATAAAGTGTAGTTAAAATATTATTAAAGGTTTAAAGACAATATAGGATCAAAATAGAGAACAAATTTGACAATAAAGTGTATTATAGCCTAGTAAGTAAAAATAAAATTATACATAATTATATATTAGCTAGCTATAATATCTTTTACTAAATAGTTATAGTCAAAATAGGCTTTATATATATAGTATCTGCTATCTTAACAATACTCAGGCTTAGTGTCATCACCCCTACCCCGCTGGGGGGTTAGTAAGCTACCGCAGCCCTCCCTCGTAACCATAGGCCACGTCAACACTCTACCGCTGGTCATCCCTTCTAGAGACCAGCGAATAATCGTGTATCCAGCCAGCAGATAGTCTTCTTACTGCTTCTATTCATCATTACCATTGACTCTCCCATCTATCCTACCCCCTCTAACACTTATACTAAAATAATTATTTCAATATATTTAAAAAAAAGAATATAAGATAGATAATTTAAATTACAATATACTATTCAATATAGTAAGCATATATCGACCATAGTTATTAATAGTACCTAAAATCAGTTTTCATAGCATAATATGTAATATGGTTTAATTATCTACTTTAAAGAGTAACAGTAAACGTTTTTATTATAGCACAGAATAATGATGGCTATAGCCCAATAAATTCGATACTTCTAGCCACTGGAATTATATAGAATAGTGCTGGTACGACGGAGGCTATAACTGATAATCCTGAAAAGAAAAAAAGGCGGAATTTTATATTCTACAGGCAAAATTAATGCATAATAGAAGTTCAGGCCATTTTTAGTGGATATGAACTGCATGCTGCACCCTTATAAAATGATCTATAGCTATAAAATTCTGTACGTTCGAAAATTTTCATGTTTATATATACACCAAATGGTCTGTATAGCTAAAATAGTTTATAGAAGCTTCTCGTGATAAAATTCATCTAAGTACACAATATCGACTTAATTATAGAATCATATTAGCTAAAATAATATTTCCTAATAATAGAGACCTAACATGAGGTATTCCCACTACAAAGAC